TATTAATATTGATAATATCTAATTAAATCATAAATCAACATCTAAACGAGACTTAAATAAATTTATAGTCGAGTAGAAATAGAATAATTAGTAAGAATCATTAATGATCAAGTTATATAAATAATCAGTGAGAGATCCTCGTCTTTTTAATAGACAATGAAAAAGATAATTCATTTGAATCCCTGATGTGTTATCGCTGCAGAGAATTTCAGATAGAGGTCATTCATCGTGCGAAATTTCGCAGCTCGTTTCTCATGGTTATGCCGCGCTTCAAGATATCTCCTATTTATTTCCCTCTCTCGGGTATTCTCATGCTGGCTGTTCGTTAGAACGGCCAACTGTTCTCGAATTTCCTCCCTTGTAGAATAAAATCCTTCTAGATTCACGCGTTGCATGTCAGTTCCCAAGAGCGTTTGCCCTGCGATCATGCATGAAAAGTGATTTCCAGCTCGCTTTTTTTGCACGAGAACATTTTAGGAATCGCTCGAACATTTTTCGAAGAGAATCGAAAAATTTTTGAGATTGACAATTATTCGAAATTATTATCGAGAAATATAAGATATCGCGATATATTTTATTATATTTTCTTTGAGGGAAGAGAAACATTTTCTGTTTCTTTGTGCTCTCACGTTTGATTAAAAAATATTTTTAAATAGATCTGTTAGTTTGAAATTAAAAACTTCAATTTTTAGAATGAAATTGAAAGTTATTGATCAAAAATATAGAAAATAGAGATTAGATTAGATATTATTATGTATCGAAATGCACAAACAACTTTGTAAGATACGTATTACGCAACGATTCAGATTATAATGTGGCATTAGAATGATATTTCAAACGTGTTTTATAACGAAATTAGTAAAATAAATAATGTTTGCTATTTTATCAAAATTGAATTGCGTATCTTAAATACATATTTCTTTATATCCTATTTTTACAATTACACATTACTGAATCATGATTATCTTAAATTTATTACAATTATAATTATAATTTGAAATTTTTTTGTGACATTGTGAAATGCATTAAAAAAAAATTCTTTCGACATTTGTTGACTTTACTTTCGTATCAATGCTAATACGATACTTATGAATTAAAGAATTAAATCAATTAAGCATTTCGTATCGAATTATGTTGAAACAATGGAATTATTTCGTACAGATGATGATATTGCATTTTGCATAAAAATTGCACAACAAAGTTTTATTTGACTTAAGAAAAAAAAAAAAAAAAAAAAAGTCTATAGGAAAAAATGAACAGGTACAATGCGAATATATTTTCATATAGAAATGGTAATCTTTTAATTAAAACAGAGAGGAACGAGAAATTAGAATTAATTAAATGAGTCGTTCGCGGGAAAAAAGAACTGTTATACCGTCGATATTACTTTTCCTACGATAAAGGAGACACATCTCACGAGCTTTGCGACGCCTCGTCCGAAATTCTCCAAGTTCTTGACGGAGTTTAATTAAACATTCCGCCCGTCAGGAATTTTGTGGTCATCTCTCTCTCTCTGTACAGAAACTCCTTCTAATGGATTCTGCTTCTTGAATCTCGATACGTGTCGCGTCAGATTATATCTTTCTTTTGAAAATATCCAAATTAAAGATCCAAAATTTTTGTTTACGATCTTTGGAATTTTTATTTCTTATTTTGGGAATTTTGAAATCGGGGAAAAAATTAATTTAAAAGGCGAAAGAGAGAGGAACTTGAACGAGCATTTCGTCAAAATGTGTCGTACAGGATTAAGAGTAAAGGGATCTTTATTCGTTGACATTTTTTAAACTTTGATTTTGAATCCAAGACAAAGAAAAAAAAAAAGTTCTTCTTTGAGTATCTGAATATTCAAATTAAAGAAGCTACTGGTATTGACAGATAAGAAGTTACACTTGAAGACATTTTTATCGAAAATATACCTATTCTTCCTTGCATTCTAATATAATTTTGTGAAAATAATTATAGAACTATTGTTTTCATATGTTTTCATATAAAAAAAATTCCAAAATAAATTGATATTATAAACACTTTGAATCGGATAATTAATTCATAATTAACAGGACTTTGTGTTCCCTCATGAATATATACATAAATATACGTGAATCTATAATGTAAGAAAGGTAATCATCAAGCATTAATTTGAATACATTAAGTTTTTATTACGAATCATTATCCGATATTTTGTTGGACTTTGTTTCATATCGTGCAAGCATTAAAAAATGTTTTAAAATGCTTTAAAAAAAGTAATAATTTATAAGTTTGTTCGATACGAATTGAAATAAAATAGTAATATCAATTTAACAATTTTTAGTAGTTTTTTTTTTTTTTTTTTTAAAGGATCGAAAACGAAATGTCATTCTTGATGGATACGTACAATTATTTTTTTTTTTTTTCCAAATTCTGAACGACGGGTGATTTAATTATTATCGAAAGATATCGCGTTTGAAGACCTGGCCATTAAAAATAATCTTCGATTGAAAAGAGGAGGAGGACCTCGATGACTCGATTTAAATGAATTTCAATGAATATACCTGAGTTGGGTTCGAAGTGTCGCTGAGGGCTATCGAGTGAAATATCACGAGAGATACGACGGTTGAATGGCCATTTGAATACACTCGAACGAGTTGTTCATCAATAAATACTAAAACCATTAACTGTTCCAACTGTTCAATGTTCTATTGCTGCTCGATAAAACAACAACCGCGCTGGATGGACTTTCGAGTCTCTGAAGACCGTCGAAGAGCACAGGAATAATAAAGAATATCGAATAATACTCATTGAAAGTCAAATTGAAGCGATTTTAAAAAATTTGCAGGAGGAAAGAATTTTTTTTGGCTGGGAAGCACAACCCTCGTCGCACGTTTTAATTAGAAACGATGTTTCACCGTGTTTGCAATCGAACCTTGTGTAACAAGGATTGTAAAAACGAGCAGAAAGGAAATTCTGCGGCAAGGAAATTAATTAACGTATTAATCGAGTAATTGGCCTCATCCCCGGAAACTATTCTCGAGGTAGAACTTTCTTTTATATAAGGGTAATTAATCTACCGAGAAGTTTGTAAAAAAAAAAAAAAGAAAAAAAAAGAAAAAAGGAAAGAAAGAGAAACCACTTTTTCGTTAGGATTTTAAAACGTTGGTTTGAAAATGATTGCACGAATAGAAAGGTCGACGATTCGAGTCGGCATTACTTTTTAAATACCCACGACCTTTCCTCGTCTCTGCCTAATGGTTAATTACTTTGCTCTTGTTACTTTGGTAACAAGGTTGTCCAAGAAAGTTTTCCAGTTGTCGAAGTTATTACGCAGCTTCAACTGCGAGAATAAAAAATGGTAGCGTTAATTTCGTATTAATGAACTGGATGGATGAATTATTATAATTTTTTTCCACCGAAAAAACAAGATGCATCGTTAGCCTAATTGGAATAAAAGAACACGTGTGAAAGAGAAAAGAAAAAAGAGAACAAGAAGACGATGATGTTGAAAAGGAAAAAAGAGGCACGTGTTGATTTATTGTTTACGCATTTATTACAAGAGAACGAAACGTTTTTCATTTGGTCCGAAAATCAGGGATGAGCTTTTTTTTTTTACGAAAAGATGCGTCTCGTTTACACACGTTTATGTTTTTTTTTTCCCATGCGCTTTGATCATTACAGTTATTAACAATGTTTCAACGTTGAGCAACGTTGTGCGTTAATGTTGCAGGCGTTCGAATAATTTGAAAAATACAAGATTCGAGAGCGTATCATCGAATTTCGATGATATTGTTTTTCTCTCTCTTCTTTTCTTTTTTTTTTTTTTTTTTTACCTTTGTTAAGAAAAAAAAGTTAAGTCGTTCAATTTAGAATTACGATGATAGGAAATGAAACTCGAATCGATTATTGTTATATAAATTGGACGAATATAATTGCCGGTAATTATTGAAATATCGAACTCGTGATATTCAAAGTGATATTCAAATTTTTCACTATGATTGATTCAATGCATCCAATGCTCATACATATTCGATACAATAGTGTGCCACCTCGTTTCATAATAAATTAATTAATATATACACGTATACAGTATTTGGTTCGTATCGGCTTAACGATCATGCTTAAATAGAATCCAAGCGTCACGATCAGTCGACCATTTGAACGAACTACGAGGACCAAATCGTTCTTCCCGTTTCGAATTATCTCTGTTTATCTCTCAAATTAACAAATCGATTCAAGATAGAATATTATTATTTTTGAAAAACAAGTTTCAAAGCGAAGTTCGATCGAGCTTCGTTCGAGTTAAATAAATAATCTCGAGGATACGAATGGTCGACTGCTCTTCAAAAAGATCCAAACATTTATCACCGAGAACGGTCTCTCTCTCTCTCAACCGCGATTACGCACCCTTTCCGATCGATGTCCATTGATTGAACCTTAACAAACGATCCTCCGATTCTATCTTATTAATACACGTTTTACTTCCGGGACGCTATGCTATCTCTTTAATTAATTAAGGCGAGCGGCGTGGTCGGTTTAAACGTTTCCCTTTTCCTCGACGATCCTCGCTTCACGATCCCTCGTCCTCCTAACTCCCCTCACGTTTCGTTTTATATATATATGCCACGATTAATGTAGAAAAACGCAAATACTAACGAGTTCACGTTTTCACCTCCCTCCTCCTATCCCTCCACATCCCCTCGTTCGAAATCCTTTCTCTTCTTCCTCTCCTTAAAAGAAGAAAGAGAAAAAGATAACGATCCACCATCGAGGGAATCGTGTTTCGTTAACGAGGATCGCCCCTCGAACAACCAGATTCCTCTGTCCGTTTCGAATTCCTCTTCGTTTCGACAGCGGGTATATCACTGAATGGTGCACGTCTTTCTGGCGTCTGTGCGCAGGGTGATCCTCGATCCAGGCGCGTTGTTCTCATTCCCGGCTGCAAGGGAGCACGTTTTCGTTCTCATAATCATCAGATCCGTTCTGATGCTCGGCCGGCGCACGTTGGGCGCCACGACGCCGCAGGCGTCGCTCAGCCGCCGCTTTATACTCAGGTGGCTTTGTGCCTTGGCTGGAACAAATTGTCGCTCTTTCAAACGCTTTTCAAAGGAGGAGGAGGGGAGGGAGGGAGGGAGAGAGAGAGAAAAAGATCCACTCGACACGACACTCCCCGGGAAGAGGGAATAAACGTAATCGTTTATCCGATTTAACGCGGCGCTCACCCTCCTCGAGTTATATGCCACTTGCACCCTCTTTTGTTCACCTTTTGTTTCAGAAATTCGTTCAATCACTATATCAAGTCCCCCCTGAATTCGTCTTTTTACTTTACTCTCCTTCACTTCCTTTTAACAACGCGATTTTAAGCGTTGTCTCTCTCCCTCCTCCGTGTTTTCGAATCGTCGTCGAGTCGAACGACCGTGAAACGAACACGAGATCCGCTCCAACGCTTTGGCTAAAAATTGTTTCCACCATCTGCGAAGATCGTGTTTGGATGGGGATTCATCCGTTTCGAGTCATTTTGAAGGAGGGTAATTGGTATACCTGTGACGGTGGTAACATGGTCGGTGATCCGAAAGTGAGAGGGACCTTTCTGTGATGATTCGGCGCCATTTCCAACGGCAAACCTGCCACTACGAACAGCTGGTAAAAAAGCTCCTCCACGTGGTAGTTCCTCTTCGCGGACGCCTCCACGAATACGCAGCAATCGTCCTGGCTGTTGCAGTACTCTTCAGCCTCTTCGACCGTAACTATTCTGTGGAAGAAAATGTTCGAAATCTCGTATTGATATAGAGAACAATTTCGACGATTGATTTCGACTGAAAGATATTTGAAATGTTCTCGTTTCCGCGTTATTCGTTTTCATTTAGTAGAACTCTATTAGTGGAATATTTCTTCATATTTCTAAGTGATATTGTGAGCGAATAATACACGCCATTTCAGCGAAGCGAGAAATAATATGGAAAAATCTAAAGATTTTCTCATCCATCATACAGCATATACTATAAAAAAATGTACATTTTCTTCCGCTCATTTTTTTAATATTTCTCAATTCTCGATCAGCAATAAATATACACGTAATAATTTGTAGAACCGTACTTGTAATGTAATATAATATAGCGGACTACTTCTACTAAATAATACGAATAAGATTACCTTAAGAACACGTAAACGAAGCGCAAGGGAATGCATTAAAAATACGCCTGAGGAAATCCTCGAGTACAGGATAACATTTTATATTAAAAGCAAAGTGAAAACAGGTCACAACACTTTAATCCATAAATTTCAAGTGACAGACACTTGAAAGTTTCTGACTGTGTGCTCTAGAAGGGTTGTAAAGATGATAAATGTCCTTAAAAAAACATGGCACAAAAAAAAAAAAGAAGAAGAAAAGTAATCTCACATGTACACGTAACGCAGTTGATATTTTACACTCGATCGATTATTCAAAACAGTATTATACGTATAGTATGCGAGTGACGTACTTTGTATCTTTATCACATTTATTCCCGACGATGACCATAGGAACCTTCAAATTGAAGTGACTCTTGCTCCTGCTCTTCGTCGCGCTTTGGGTCGCGCTTACTTTAGTTTCCAGGATCGATTCACGCAGTCTGATGGCCTCCTCGAACGATTCTCGACAATCCAAACTGAACACCACCACGAACAGGTCTCCTGCGATGAAAAATTGCGATCAGACATTTTACATTTTCTTTTCTTTCTTTTATTGAATCTCCATAATTCCAAAGAATTATTTAGCGCGTGAAGGATAAGTGAAGGAAGGGAAAATCGATGGTTTGAAGAATAATAGTAGTTCAACAATTTAATCTCGTGAGATCTTCGTAACTCCTCTGGACGCGATAAGAAAGGGGAAATTTTAAAAATGACGAGGCAAAGAAGGAAGGAGCTGTTTTTTCCCTAATTGTATCTGTACATGCCTTTCGTCCGCGTATGCAAATTATTATATCCCCTGCTTCAGTTTTTGCTCCTTCGACTGCTGTAAGCTGCTGTAAACTTGGCGAAACTTGTAAATTTTACAACGTAACAGCCAAGAGTTTTGCCCCTCTTCTTCTTTTTTTCAATCGGCCAATTATTAAATCTCTATCGTCATAATCGATCTGATCGTAAAACTATCGTAGAAAAAGAAAAGAAAGAAAATTCGTTTGTATCTTTATTCAAAAAAAAAAAAAACGAAGAATTTAATTATCCACGAATTGTTGGCGATTTCGTACGTGTTGATGATCATCGACAAATATGAATAATGTAAAACTCGAACTTATGAATATTTATCTCGACGCGATTATTTTTATCTCGACGAATATCGTACTCGTGTGCAGTAGTACGCGTACACATCTTCTGTTTCCGTGATCGAGTTTTAACGAGTTTTTCCCTCCCACCAACGAAAATCCCCCGTCGAACGAAAGAACAGGCGGCGGAGAAATCGATCGATCGACGATGTTTGTCAACCGAGGGAATCTATGATCGATTTTTTTCCCTTTCGAAACTTGATCGAAAGTTTTCGAGAGAATTTCTCTGCAATGTCGTTAAAACGTGGCGAAAACATCCAATTCTCATTTTTAAATCACGATGCAAGCGAAGCGAGGCGTTATTGCATCTTTTGTAGCGAATTCAAGCAACGCAATCATCAAAGGTGAAAATTTGTCAATTTGTCAATTTCGCGAGGAACGGCAAACTCTTGCTTGGAAATTCAAATTTAAAAACTAAAACACCCGACAAAGTTAATTCATTCATCTTTATGAAAGTGAATTTACACAATTTTTAAAACTTTTTGTTCTGCTGCTCCGACTCTTCGTTTAAAGAAGAAAGCCTTCCGTTTTATTATTAGATACGTTGAAAGTTCGCCTTGTTTCTCACGCGTTTCTTTTTCTTTTTGCAAAACGTGTTTATTACAGCTTTGCTCGAACAATAAAGCTTGATCTTGTTGAAATATACGTTTATGCGAGTTATTAGAACTCGAAGAACTTTCTTTTTCTAGTATTACAAAGTACAAAGTTAGCGCAAACTAACTGACTTTTTAAAAATAACAATATCTTTTCTTAAAGATATAATCCGTCCACGCGAACGAACGATTTTTAAACATGTTTTTTAAATTATTTCCAAAATTAGATCCCGTAAAAGAGGAGAAATCGAGAATATCCTTGGTCGTAACAGTGAGGCACAAACGTGGCACGATTGAAAACGCAACAACTTTGCAGGAGATTTAATATTTTATGAATACTTTAGTGCACGCTTTAACAGCGAAGCAGGTGGCCACTTTCTTCCGCCCCCGGTCCCAAAGTTTTCTATTATTCGCGGTTAAATAATGGCCGTGAATAATCGTAAAAACTATGGGATACAGCGTTTATGTAGCTTTTTATTTCAACTAAAACTCTCCCCTACGAGAACTTTGTTAACCGTAAAATCCTGGAGATATCCTTCGGGCTATGCGTTTCTTTTTTCGCGGGATTACTGTCGAAAAACGGAGGAGGAGGCGAAGTCTCTGAACTTTCGTTCTTTCTCCCTGGCAAAGAAGCCAGGAGGGTTGGACAGAGGATAGTTACGAACGAATACGCAAATGTTGGATAAATCTGTTGCTCCAGATCCAGTTTTGTCTTCGTTCCATCTCGGGATAAGCGCATAATCGGTTTCCTTGAAGGGGAATAAGCGCCTTTTATAACGATAATGCTACACAACGATAATGGCGGGCTGGGTCGATTCTGGAAAATATGATTCGAAAGGTAGGAACTTTAATTATGATGTAACATGAAAGGAAATTATATTCAATCCGCAACAAGTGTCCCCCTTTTTGCGTCTCCGCTACTCTGCAGATCCTCGTTGAGTGAGATGTTCCATCGATTCAAATGTTCGAGATATTATAATTTCTTCTCTCGGTTAAATGTACGTGAATTGAAAATCGAGGATACACGAAATACAATAATCTAAGTATAATAATTTTTTCCATTATTTTCCTTCTTCTCGATAATATTATATCCTTACATATTACAATTATTACAATGATAGATCATGTACGCAAGAGATCGCGTAAAGTGACGAATGAAACGTAATTGATTTTTCACGTAAAAAAAAAACGCGAGAAGAAATTAACAATTTTGCCATCGAAACCTGTCCAGGAAATAAAGAAAACCGTGCCATTGATGTCACTTTTTCCCTCATCTTGATATCTCGATCCGTTCTCTAGATATAAGGATTCAAAGTGTCCTTAAGTAGCGCACACATTATGAATGGACACGCGACCTATATTTTTTCCTGGAAACGCGTACTACGCTTTTTCTAGGAATCGCGGGAGTTTGGGATAGGTCAGCGAGGCGAGGCGCGAGCGAGAGATCCGAACATAAACAACGAGGAAGGGAATGGTAAACGATTAAAAATTATCCTTTCCTTTACACGACGATATCTCGGCAACCGGAAGTCGTATCGGGATAAACGAAAAAGGGTTTCAAAGGGCAAGATTCCCCGCTTCTAACGGCCTTCCGTTCGTTGACCGGAAGCCGCTATCTTCCGAGTTACAACGGCTCAAAGTTTTCCTAATTTTAATAGAGTTTAAAAATTATCCTTCAATTTAAACGACGATATCTCGGCAACCGGAAGTCGTATCGAGACAAGTAAAAAAAGGTTTCAAAGAGCAAGCTTCCCCCTTTCTAACGATCTTCCATTCGTCGACCGGAAGCCCCTATCTTCCGAGTTGTAGCGCTTCAAAGTTTTCGTGATTTCAATACGGTAAAATCGAATTTGTCTTAATAACGTTAATCGTTCAATACTACTACAACAAAATATTAATTAAATATACATATACTGTATAACCACAACTATTTACAAGACGGTAACGTTATCCATATTGTTAAAATAAACAGAAAAGAGGCTACTATACGATAATACATTTCAATTTCTCCTCTACTCACCACGCGACGGGAAGGAAGAACATTTTATTCCATAAATCCGTGCAAAGACATAATCTTTCCGATTACACTACGTATAATAATAATAATAATCCAGATACGATGACATCCGTAGTTCAGTCACCGATTCTCCTTGATCACCGGTAATCCAAAATTAACTATGCGGGAGCAAACAACCGCGACACGAAGTTATAACTATTCCAGAACGTGACCACGATTCCCTACGAAATTCCCTACCGTTGCCAGGCAGCTCATTCCAATTCAATAACTCTCTGAAAACCGGATACACGGGAAACGAGCGTATTTAACGATTCCTCCTTTCCAAGCCGGGCGCAAATTAATTTCGAAATAATTACAAGACTTGCCCTCTCCTCCCCCCTTCTCCTCCATCCGGTTGAAACAGTAGTTCAGTTTCAGTTTCGCGAATCGTCTCGTATACACACGATATTTTTCTTCTTTTTACTTTATTTTTCCAAACGCGTGTCCCCAGTGTTCGTCCACGAGGAAACGGACGTTAAGCCAATGTCGCGATTCAATCTGCTCGATATCACGGCCGTCTCGATTGAATATCGACGTGGCTGCGTGACGAACACAGGATGGTCGCGAAAGTGATTGCGCCAATATATATATATATATATATACAATTTCAATGGACCACCGGTTGCGCCGAGGAGGAAATCGTTATCGTGTCGGATAGATCCGATCGAAAGTTGGCGCGAGTACCGTTGCATCCTGTGTAGAGAAACAGGGTGACAACGAACGATAAGCGCGTTCTCTTTGAGCTCTCCAAGCCCTGTCTGATCGTAAAAAAATAATTGAACGATTCCGAATTTTATTTTACTTTTTTTAAAATTGGAAAGGAAGGAACGAGGTGATTAAAAAACGGCCGTATCCTTGGGACAAAAGGTTTAAATCAAAGTAAGCGCGTGTATACGTGATTGCGATAAGTATTTTTTGTATAGATAAAAGTGTTCGATCAGAGGATGATGGAAACGAGAGTATTCCATCTGGATACGACATAACACTTGTCAATTTCTCTTAAGAAATTATATAAATTAACGACAGAGGGAAGGATGTGCACGATTCAATTCTCTGCAATTCTCTGCTCGAATCCGATCAAAGTAAATTCACACGTTCCGGATAATAATAATAATAATAATAATAATAATAATTCATTTACGGGTGGGATCGAAGAGTCAAGAGGAGGGATTGGAAGAAATCCAGTTTAAACGAAACGGCGTACTCCCGAGTTAATTAAAACGAATGCTGTCGCGATTAATTACGGAGAAATTATGATCGAGCCAGCCTAAAAATACCCAAGCTTAACGGTCAGCCTGGGGAAAACAGTTGGAACTGTTGATTTCATCCACAGATCTCATTTCGTCCTTACACGTTCTCTCGAAGACAGAACGTTCTTCCTCGCCTTGTCTTCGCTTTTATTCTCATTCGACATCTTACCCCCACGACACAGCTTAGTTTCTCCAATTGAGAAACTATCGTTTTGAATATCGAATTTTCACTCGTTTCAGTTGTTCGAAAAAGAAAAAGAAAAAAACTTTGTACTTGCGAAATTTCGAAATTTCTTCTCTGATCGTGACGTTCCACGCTCTTCTTCAATTCCCTATCGAATTCTCGAATTCGCGCGCTTGTCCAACCCCGACGAAAAGGGAGAAAAGACGATCCTTTGTCGCGCTCCTCCCCTCTTTTGGTTGCTCGATCCCCGATTATTTAAAGTTTGGAAGGGGACGTGATTCGATTAACGGCGCGTGTTTAATTTATGGCAAGGATCGAAGCAAAGGGTTTGCTCGATTGGGAACAGACTTACGATTCAAGCTTATCGAAACAGGTAGGGATCGAGGATTCGAACAGAGTTAGATTATCGAAACACGTAGCGGTACGTTAAGAGCTTTCAATTTCACGTTATTGAGGAACGCAACGTCAAAGGGATTCTATTTCCACTCCCTCGAATATCCAGTGGCGCGTTATTGCTTGTTCTGGTTATTAACTTACTTAATTAGGATAAACGTTCCTCCAGCTCCTTTTCCTTTTTTCCAGTATCGAATCTCTATCTTCCTTGATATCTCTCTCTTGTAACTTGTTAACTTTCTAACGCTTAATTATTACAATTGATAGATCTTCCTGATAAATAATCCAAAAGGAAGGTTAAAAGGATGGTTTGAAAGGAAAAGGTAAACGAAACGAAACATCATCGTAAAAACTGAATCGTTCGCCTATTAAAAATCATCGTGGATAAGATCGACGAACGGTGGGAATAAAAATTTGAACAACGGCGTATTGTTATAAATCACGGTAACACCGCGTTCATCCGATATCTATGCCGGTCTACAATTTCCAATCGTAGGTACATAACCGACTTTAATAACGGCTTTTCGTGCCGGTTAATCTCGATGCAGGCCTGTGTAAGGAACTCGGCCAGCTTAATAACTACCCTCTCCTCCTTTCCCTCCCCCCTGCTTTGCATAGCCGCCGCAAATATTCGCATCTTGAAAACAAAAAAGACGCTCGTTTAGATCGAATTTTTTCCTCTCGAAAGGGGGAAACCGGATTGTAGGAGCGGTCGTCGGTTCATTTCGTCGAATATTCTAGTATCAATTTTCAACTTGTTTCAACCGCGTTCAAGGGAAAGGAGAAAAAGTGTTCCTCTTCTTTTATTCTTTATCCAATCGTTTTCTTTTCCTTCCTCTTTTTAAACACAAGAGTACGTTTACTTGGTACGTTTATATTTTATTTATAGATCGCCACGATGAGAATATTTTAACTTTATTCGATAAATATGATTTTATCAAGTGTATCAAGTTTTATTTATTCGTTTCGATGTATCTTTGTTCTTCGGCATCGCCCTCGGCACAGAATTTCGTTCATGCTTCTCCTCTCCCTGTTTTCCGGTTTGTTGATTTTCGTTTAGCTAGTTCATAAACGCGATATCTTTCCTCCACTCGATAAATCAGCTCTCACATTTTTCCTCTCGTCCTTTTATATATCTCTTATATATATATATATATTCTACTTATTTTATATTTTTCTTCCTTATCGTCTCCATTCGGTATATCGGGAATTTTTTAGCTTTCGACGATACATTTTTCGCACGAGATAATTTAACCGGAATTTCTTCGGGATAGATCTTGATTCTCGATCTCCATTACAATTCTATCTGCGAAACCTTGTGTTGGAATTGGCTTTCTAATATTATTACCATGCTTGTGCTATGCTCGCCAATATTCCCTTATCGTATTGCTTGTTATGTAAAGTACTGGTCACGTAGGTGGTGTACGTACCCACCATCGTGTTATCCATCGTCTCAATAAACCTTCATAAGTAATTCCACGAACGTCCGATATATGTATATTTAGAAACAAATCATAACCGAGCCAATAACGATAAAGGGAAGGGAAATATTGTATCGAGCATTTATCGATTTTTCCAATTCTAATATATACGGAGAATAAAATCCGTGTAATAATTCGATGCACAATTTTGGTCGCACGAGAAACGTGGGAGGAGATGAAAATAAAATATCTTCTTATCATCTATGCGTGTAGAGAAAGGATTGTAAACAGATTTTAAATCGAACCGTAATCCGATCGAGGCTGCCTCCTCCAATCCCTACCTATATAGACACTAAATATTCGATGAAATTAAAATTTGCCAACCTGTATCCTATATTTTTTAACGTGTCCTATATTAATTAACGAACACGCGAATTATTATATCTTTTCTCTTTTTTTTTCGTTTAATATTCAATAATCAATCAATACCGGACGATATCGTGATTCCATTACGACGAAGGAGGGATTGGAGAGATAATTTTATTATTTGATTCCGTTCCTACGTTACTACGTTCCTCGAGAAACGAGATCCCAAGGATGAAGTCGATGCAATGTCGTATTGATAGTCGCTATATAAATTGCTGTATATATATGATCGTTAAAATTTATGTAAGTAGTTGTCGCACTGTTTTTCACGCGATTATTTCTTTAATGTTTCAATTGGACGCGGCGACGCCATCTTAATTTCACGATGGTCTACGAGTTGGTTTATAGGAAGGAATATATACGTACGCTATATCGTGTTAATTGAAATTACGTAGCATAATATTTTATGGATGACGAGAAAACGGTATAAATTCAATAAAATTCACTTTGAATTGATTTTTTGAACAAGCGTTTCTTCCTTCCACATTTCAAATTCCACTTTTCAAAGAAAAATCGAACGTACGTGCGAAAATTTTTTATGACTTTTCTTCTAATAACATTTAATCTATATAAAAATCTAATTCTGAAAAAAAAAATGTTATTTTTCCGAGCGTCGATTCTACGCATAGAAACTTATTAGCAACAAAACTAACGAGAAAAAAAAAAAAAATTTCTCTTCATCGTCGAATGAGTTTTACTTCTTCTTCTACTTTCTCGTTTCTCACAGAAAGAATCCTGTTACACGCATTATCGTCCAGGATAATTATCGCTCGATAAATTCCCTGTCCTCGCGAGAAATATTCCTTTTCCAGGAACTTTCTAAGCCCCTTAGCGTCTTCCAACTTCAATTCCACGACTTCGTCCCCTCGCCGCGTGAAGCATTAATGCGATGTCCACGAGGAGAGAAGGGTGGCGGTTCGAAATTCAAATCTCAATCTTAGTTGAGATGAGAGGAGGGCACGTTACGTGTTAATTATTAGATGTCCAACAACCGAACCACCACGTTAAACAAACAAAGGAGAATTACGTCAATCAGAGAAGTGCGGTGTACACGATTTATCGATTGTAAATGGCCTTTTATTTTTATATCCTTTTTGACATTTCTAATGATCATTCCACGAGACAGAATCGAATCGAGACCGCCAGTATTTTGTCTTTTCTAACTATTTCCGATTTAATATTTAAATTATTCATTTTTTTTCTTCAGACTTATGCGACTTTCGACAATTTTTCAACAATTTCCCTTTTTCTTTTTTGCGGTTCACGTGGTAGATGCGGCTATGCACGGCAAACACGTGACGCTTGCGTGCGTTCGGCTGAAAACCGAATGTGATCAATACGCGTACGCGCACTCCGTGCGTACGATCGTCACGTGTGCCATGCGTGATGCAAATGCGTTTTTCACAAGGGATCGTAATTGGGAATTTATCGCGGGGATACCGCCTCTATTTTTATCCCAAACGATAATGAATTCCGCGGCTTTCTTCCACGCGCGACGTGCGCGTAACGCGAGTCGTTCGCCTTTGCGTGCCTCTATTACGACACGAGAGGCGAGGGGGATAATTAAAAATTAATTGGAACGAGAAGGGAAAGGTGGTTCCGCTATGCGTATGAATTCAATCCAAGAAGTTTTTAAAAACTTTTCGAATATAAATGAAATTAGAAAAAAGAGTTCGAGTTTCTCCGAAAAAAAAGAAAAAGAATAGAATATAAAATATTCCTCTGTCCAATAATTCGCTTCGATCTCACATCGTATCGGTGATTGGCCACTTGTGGATTTTTTCAATATTCCAACTCGATTTACTCAAAAAAAAAGAAAAGAAAACGAAGAATTATTATACTTTTCCTCTTTCAACTTCGTGGAATTCCTTCCTCCCCCTAAAACAGCGTTCCTGAAACACCCTCCTCGCGCATTTCTCGCAGAGCTGAGCTTTCTGTGCCGTCAAATATTGATTCACCGCGTTTCGGAAAATTGGGCAGGGGATCGGTGTGTCGTCATCAACGCTTCGAACACGAGCCGATGCATCGAAAAAACGGGGATTTTCGCGGTAGAACAAGGACGAGAGTGCTCGACGACTGTTCTCGACTCTTTTACACGATCGATATCGATCGAAGGCGTGGTTGGAAACTTGCATCCGGTCGGAGAAAGGATGCTCAACAAGTTGGCGGGATGACTTGCGGCCTCGAGGATCTGTTATCTGTATATACGTATAGGAAATTTCCTGGCAGAGATGCGATAATAATTCGGTGTGTTCGGTTTGTCCAAAGATCAACCGAGTTGACTGAATTACTCGCTGATTGGTACGTGAGAATGGATCGCTGCGGCTATTCGAACGACACTTGGATATATCGACAGAGAGAAAAGTATTTTTATCAGAACTGTCGATAATTCGTGATAATTATTTTTTAATTATACAAGGGAAGAACGTAATCGTATAACACGATCAATTTCAATTTCGCAAGTGGAATTCGAATTTTATTCAAATTACTTTATTCTTATCTCTATCGTTCGCCAGTGATTTTCTGGAATCAAAAATAATTCTCTCTCATTTGAAAATCGAATTTGTCAAATTTTTTCTCTCAACCAAAGTTAAACGATTACGCTTTCCTGTTGATCTATTTGTAAAAAAAAAAAAAAAACAAGAATGTAGGAAGGTGTTACGCTAGCCGTGTTTGGAAATGTTCAATATGGACTGAGAAAATATTTGCTCTTTGTCCTCTGACACTTAGTTACATGTATCGACGCGATTAAATTTCCACGACATTATATTGCATTATAAGCTAGAGAATACATACGCGCGAGAGAAACAATTAAATCAACCACGAGTTTCAAACAATTCTTACGAATAGCCGCAACATTCCGCAAATCCAATTCTTTCTTCTCTTTCTCTCACAAAATACAATAAAATCGTGTACAATTCGAATGCACGTTTATTAAAGAAAAAAAAGAAAGAACCTTCTTGTCCTCTCGTTTTCACGGACTTAAACAGATCGACTCACCCGTTAAGAAGGATAATCGTCGCATGGCCGGAAACGGATGATTCCCGCTCGTGTCCAGAAGATCAAGCTGATGGACCTCGCCTTTAATCCTGTACAGCTTTCGGTGGAAGTCCTCGATCGTTGGCGTATAACTCTCCTCGAACTTGTTGGACAAAAATCTGCGATGAAATTCGTACGCGTTTTACATTAAACGCGCACAATAATTTCGATAATCCGTTAAAAAAGAAGAGATCGACGAGGGATCGATAATTTATGGAGCAAATTGTTATTTATACTCGCCTGTGTTCCATCACGATTTTTTTCTCTTTTTCCTTTTTTCGGGGAGGGGAGAAGAGAGGATCAAAAATACATTTTGCCGGGGCAAACGAACAACGTTACACCGATGCGTTTCACACCGATCGATTATTTTTCGTACGAAATTAAATCGTTTGTTCTATTAGCGCCGGCGAGGTTCCATCGTGCGTGGAACGTGGGGGAAGGAAATATCGAATATCGAAAATTTTCACTGCGATGCGTTAATAATCTCGTTGGAAAGGTTGTCACGAGACGATCCAATTTGTAAATTCCAACTTTTGCCCAACAATTTCTATTCGCGAAATTAAATAAAGGTACGAGTAAAGTTTTAATTATCGAATCCTTTTTGTTGGACATTTTACGATGCGTTATGCCATTCCATTGATAATACATTAAATAATAGACTTCGAGAAAAATCTGTTTGCGAATTATACGCACGCGCATTTCAATGGGAAGAAATCGTTATAGTTATCTTCCCCGAAATTGTTAATGTTTTCCATTATTTTTCCATTCAAGTAAAAAATATTTTATTCTCCCTCTTTATCAATCAACCACAAAATTTTTTTTCTAAATTTTCGAGTGAAAAATTCTAACAAACGATACTTGCAACATCGTAAAATCAAGAGAAATCTTTTTGTTAGCAAATTATACAAAAAGCAATTTATAAATACGAACGTATTCGATAAAAATTATGGATACGAAAATTTATTATTTAAAAAGGAAATCACGCGAACTATGAAAACATATTCGAACCACGATCAAAGAATCTGACAAAAACTCGTCGAGAATGGGACGCGAGATCACGAATTGTCGATGGAATCATCGAGAAACCGAAGTAGAAATTCCCGTGGCGAGTTCATTAGCAAGTCGATCGTCGTAACGCGTGCTTAACGAAACCAGAGAGACAATACCAGCCGCATTACCGGTCGAATCGAACGGAATTCGAGGCGAGCGAAACTCCTTGTTCGAGAAACGAAACTCATATCGTGAACAAAGGGTGCAACGAGCTGCATCCCGATCCACCAACCACGTTGAAAAGAAATTTCAGAAATCGGATCGAAAATGAATTTTCCACGATTTGCTCGATCGTGGCCCAGTAAATCCGTGACACGTTTGTCCATTTTCTATACTCGCCAGGGTTAAAAATATCGCCCCGTTGAAAGGGCGCCTCTGATTTTGAGGGTGGAAGCGAACCGATACGTTTCGTTCACGGTGGTAGAGTTTCATCATCGTTCGAATGATCGTTGCCATTATCGGTGAAAAAGTGTTATACGCGGTGTATATCGATCGATATATATATATAGATATATATCGAATGTAATTATCGTAGTTTTTTTTTAATATTGTTCTTTTTTATCGATTTTACAGAAAAGAATTACTACTCGGTCATATTCTCTATGCTTTTATTTTCAATGGAATTTTTTGCGAAAAAGATTCTGAAATTTGAAAATATTCTTGTTTATTTCATATCACTGCGAAACAAATTACGTGATTTTTCTACAAAATTCTTCGTGCAAATTAAACGTGAAATTTTGATAAAATGACCGAGCTTCGTTTTGGAAAATGAACAATCGTTTGCGATATCTTTTGTAGTATAATCATTTGATTATAGTATTTAACAATCCAGATATATTTTCAACTTTAAGAACTTATATTTTTGTGTTTCGAAAAAACGCAAAAGTTTAACCGAAAGAACTTATTCGATTAATCTTTAGTCAAAGAGGAGCGAGGACGAGACACGATAATGATATTAATTTGTTTAATATCAGAAATAAACGACGAATTCTTTTTTTATAAGATAAGATTCAACGAAATCGATTTGAACGATTCATATTTCTTCATCGAGGTTTCAACGATATGATATATTTTTTAAACTGGAAGCGATATACGTATGCTTTTCACCGATGAAAAATACAAGATCGTGGAATAAAATACAATAATATCATCGATAGAACCGCTTTGAATATCGCGACACGACGAGGAATTTCTTTCAATCGTACGTCGAATCGAATTGCGAATAATATTTCGAATAAACGCTCGTTACCATTTTGAACGTTGTTTAAAAAGTCTTTGAACTTTGCCTCGTTTCGGCCTGGATGGAATATTAATTTAAATTTCTGAATTCTTAATAAAGTATACGAAACTTGTTGCTATCATTTAATTATAAGAATAGCGTTTTTCTTGTTTCTTATAAAAATGTTAAATTTTCCATGGCAAATCAGTCTCGGAATGTTAAATATATATCTCATAATTTTCTAGTTAATAATATATTTTTTGTTGTAATCACAGTATGATATATTCCTTTTCACCTATTTTTTTTTTTTTTTTTTTTTATTCCAAGTATAATATAATTCACGACACTCCGGATTTTAGACTAGAATAAAAAGTAGCAAACCTGGTCGCGTTTCAAAATATATAAAATCCGAAAATATTTACATTTTTTGGTGAAATTATATTCCCCGTTCGCGTCACGTGCATCCGACCCAATTTCTGTAATTCTTGCAAAAACAAAAAAAAAAAAAAAAAAATGAGACGGCAAGGGAAACGTTTTCAGCAACATATTTATTTCTACAATTTAATGTAATCTCGCAAAAATTCAAACTCGTCTTCATGAAGCGAATCCGCGGTGGATTAAACCACGATTTTCTTTTAGATTTCCTTGTATCGATTCCTCCAAATATTTTCATACATTTCATACATTTACGAACAACAGAATTATTGTTCTCCATTTGACAATTTTTCCATCTCCAATATAATTTACCTTGTTTTCAAAGGAATGATTCTAAAATACTTGAAAACTCGAATTCTCGATAGAAAAGAATCCTTTAAATCCTATTTTAATTTTATTAAAAACAATATTGATCAAAGTTCGATTCGTCTTGTTTTGTTGTCGAAAAACATGCTGTATGTAACTTCTTTCCTTTTTTTTTATAACAATATATTTAAAAATAATAAAGAAAATTAAGAAAAACCACGATCTGTGTTTATCGGCAACCATTGCTCAGTTAAAATAAACGAGAATCAATTACAATCGATCGATTTAATTTTCCTTCCTTATTAATCTCCACGATGTGCTCGACCGAATCGTTCGTTTCGTACTAAAGTCGACGATCGTATCCGTGTATTCGTTCGACGATTATCGAATAATAAATTCGACTTTCGATCGTTGCGTTTATATATAGTCGACTTCTTACGTGTATTATACGTATTATACTTATCAATCAATAATATGTTTTACACACACGTTATTTACTTTTTGTAAACAATGCAAGATTTTCACGAGATAATAATTCACGACAAGATATTCAATTCAATTTGTATTTTTACAGATATTTGTTACACTTATAAAAACGCAGCGACCTAAGAATTCTCTCTCTTCTTTCGACATAAAAAAATATAAAAAAAGAAGAGAGAGAGAGAGAGAGAGAAAGTACGTTACGACGGGAAGGGTTGAAAATTACCGTGCTACAATGGCCGTTTTGCCAACTCTCGCGCTGCCGAGCATAACCAGACGATAGCAATTGCGGGGTGGCGGTTTGCAGGCATCCTCCTGCGAGGACGTGGATGCGGGGCTGGGGCTGACCGGAATCGGAAGGATGCCATCCTCCGAGCCTGAGGGCCCCTCCAACTCGGGGCCCGCCTGTGCACCCCTTCGCCCCCGATTGATACGTTGCTCGGCCTCCTCTGTTGCGCTTCCGCTTCTGCACAGCCTCTGCGCGCAGCACACGAGTCGGCCGCACGCCTCCAGCTGAACGAAAATCCATCTCGATCGGGTAAATAATTATTTTCGATTTCCAATCTTGTAAAATGTTCGATCCTCGTTCGATCGATTTGGAATTGGACAACTTTTGGCAGTTTGCAAACATTTATCTATTTCGATTAATCCACCGTTGTATCGATGACTTTTTAAACGTCGACGTTTTGAGCGCCATGCGAGTTTCCTTTCTGGAAAAAATATCGGTGAATATAAATTTTATTTTGAATATTCGTTCGACTCCCACGTCGAAAAATTCGCGTGCGAAACGATGATTCCAGACGATAAGCCCTGTATATGCGTGTGAAAATTTGCTAGAGATAGATGGTTTTTTTTTTTAATAAAACGAAAAAGAAAGGAGGGGAAACGAAATATGTTACACTGGCAATTGAAAAAAAAAGTTGAGTATAAAAGTATAAAATTTGGAAATAATTATTATTTGTAGAAAAGATCGTTGAGCTAAAGTTTTGTATTAAAAATATATTTTAATCGATTTTATTTAGCAAGTTTTTAATAAAGTGTGAACGCAATTGTTTTTTTCTCGCGTGTATCGAATTTTCATCAATCAAACCGAAATCCGAAAAAAATGTTAATGCGAAACATAATATGCTTTCTTTTAGTGAACACGATACGGGGAAATCCAATATTCTGAATGCCAGTGGAACAAATTCGCGGCATGTGATCTCGTTAAATTCGACGTGACGCGTTTTTATGCTCCGCTGGCGTGTAATTGGACGTGCATAACAGAAATTATATTTTCTACTACTTGGAACTCCGCCAAATTTCGCCTTCTTCCACTGCTTGTGCATTCTAAATTAAGTACAATTAACGATACCTGTTATTTTTTTTCCCCCCGACAATTTAACATTCTTATTTACGCGTTATTGCGTGTAAATCCTAAAAATATTATTGATTTAAAAACTTCGTTTTTTCGTTTTACAAAAACTAATTCGAAGTCGTAAAATTTCGAAAAAAAAAATATATATATATATATAAATAGTTAATCTTTATGCAAATGTATGTATTTTTTTCTTACGTCAATTTCATTTGCATGATACTTAAAATACTTGAAAACGAATATAATTCCGAATAATTATGACAAGACAAAGCATTACGACGCGATAAAAAATTTTAAGCATTCATAACAGAGAAGGGAGTGAGATAAAAAAAAAAATATTTTAACCTATAAATATTTATAAATCGGATATAAATAATGCTAATTTGTCGGGAAACTATGGAAAAAAAAAATCGTTAATACAAATGATCGTGTAAGTATGCTCATAATAATTAATTAATAATAATATTTCAGAAATAAATCTACAATTAATATGTACTTATCTATTATATTGCATATATTCTATACATAATTTAGAACATGTTATATTAATCAACATGATGTATATTTTCTACAAATTAGTTCAATATTTGAATATACGTTTTTAATTAGAAATATTAAATGCCAGAAATTTCCTTCAACTTTTGCATACATTGTACATAAATATATACATACATATATATATATATGATTTAAAAAAGAATTGAGGAACGAAAATATTGGAATCCTCATATTACAAGATATGGTCAACGTTCCGACTGTGTGATAAATATTGTTTACGTAGCGTGAACACGACAGATTTAATTAACAGTTTTAATTTTTTCTCGCATTGATATAACGTAACACCGAGTTAACGAAGGTTATCGCGATCATCGATGCAGTTGTTTAATTGGAAAAAGTTCTTGTTACACGTATATTATCGGCTGGAAAAATGCCCGTTTGTTATAATATATTCAGAAGAAAATGTAATAATTTGGTCAGGAAAAAAAAAAAAAAAACGAATCATTTTGAAAATATTTTTGCATGCAATTTGTTGAAATGCAGGAATATCGAATTCTACGTGGGAAATTTGATCCGTGAAATCGTAGACGTATTATAAATCGGCGGGAAAAAATTGAAATTGAAACGGTAAATAATCGGTTATCTCATTTTATTTTTTCACTCATTCGATCATTTAAATCGAACTGAATTAAATTAATATTAATTCAATCCATTTATTAGTTATTCCACCGATTGAATCAATTTAATTAGTAATTCTCGTTTTTTATTTTTCTATTCCCTAATTGATAATTTTTCAACTCGTTGTTCGTGCACGATAACAATTCAATTTTTGATATAAATTTCAAAAAGATTCGCCGCTTTTATTACCACCGTGTATTTTCACGATGTAATTAAACGGACATTTAATTAAATGCGATTTTAGGATTCCGACCTGGATTCGTGACATTGTCGCCACAGCACAGTGTCGGTTAATTAGGTTTGATGAATTTCTACCATTTATTTAGATCGAGCAATTAGCATGCACAGATCGTAGAATTGATCTATAATTTCGTTTTACTTGCCGGCCGATAATCTCGAGACGCGAATTTTCGATGAATTTTCGGGAACACAATTTCAATGATTAACAGATTCTTCATATCGTAACATATAGCCTTGATTAAGGTTCTTGAATAATAATCCGCGGCCAGCAAATTGACAACAAACGATCGTAAAAATATTGAGAGTAAAAACACGTCGACGATAAAAATGCAATAAGTGGAATTTGAAATTTTGCGAAGAGGACTTATTCCATGAAAAGAAGCAACGAGGGACGAACGTAAGTGATATTTCGGGATGAAAGGTCAATTTTCCGGCTGAAAATCCTTCTTTGTCTTCCATTTTTAACAATTGTCGTAACGCTGGATCGGTATTACATTGCCAGAAAGGGTTTCATCGTTCAGGCGGATAGAGCGGAGGAAAATTATGATTGGAATTTATCGTAGTAGTATTGTTTTGATAAAATTATAAATTTCATTGCCACAATTGACTTACTTTATTCCTTCATCGACTCAATTTTCCAAAAATAATTTCTAACCGATTCTTCTAATGAATGATCATAACATCTATTCTCTCATAACTTTCTCACTTTACTTTCCATTACTTTCTAAAAAATTAATTTTTCCATTCGATTCCTCCTCTTTTCGAATTTTCTTCTTCGAAGAGAAAAAAAAAAAAATAGGTATATCTCGAGAAAATTTCCTCCTCGTCGTGATTAAACAAGGAAACACGTACGAAGAAAAATGGGGGGGAAAGCGGCAAGGCAAGGCAAGGCGTTATTAATCACTCGGCTAAATATCACGGCTCGTGTTATCGAGTTTCCCCCAGGGAGCTTTTCCTTTTTCTTTTTTTTTTTTTAAAGGCATTTCCATTTTATCTCGCATACATCGGGATCAAGGGAGAAAGGTCTTCTTTCGATTTTTCTCTTCCGCGTTACACCCGACCCGGCCACGTAAAAAATTATAAGCCTTCATCGTCTTCCTCGACACGCCACGTCGACGAGTAACATAACGGATTTTCCTGGATCAATATCCTCTTCCTCTTCAACTTTCCTTTTTCCCGCCCTTCTCTTCTTCTTCTTCTTTTTTTATCGACGCTCGAGTCAAAGTTGAAAAGCTGCTTGTCCTTTAAAAGAAAAAAAAAAAAAAAAAACTTGGAAACGAGGGATCAAACGAGCCGAGATCGGACAAATACGACGCGGATATATTTTCCAAAGCAAAAAAAAATCGGTGTTTAATCCGACGACGGGAGGAAAACCGTGCAACTTTTTTCTTATACACCGATTTGCCGTTCGTGAAATTAAATTCTGTTTAAAAAGCATTTTTTATTCGAGGAGAAGTTGCTCTCCGATAACTGGTCTCCTTCTCGATTCGATGGATTAGAAATGGTTTTGCGTAAAGTTTCGCGGAACATGCTCGTAACTCGAGGAACGAGCATGGTATAAAACGACACGATAAAGAGCATACAACTATAAATAACTTGCCCCCTTCGTAACGTTCTCTTTTGTCTTTACGACTATTTTTATTGTCCCGGATAAATCAATTAAAATATCGTAAAACAACGATGCAGGAGATGTGGATCTAACGACGAAGGAAGATTCATCGACTCGAATCACTTTTATATATACGGGCTCAACAATCTTCTCGCATATATTTTTTCGTTTTGCCTCCTCAACGTATAACTCGTTTAATTTTTAAAGAAAGATGCTACTATTTAACGACAGAAACGAGAATTGACCACGGTGTGTACGATTCTACTGTAAATTAATTAAAAAAAAAAAGAATTCTTTCCTCATCCTTGAAGAAATTTAATCTCCAAAATGATTACCTCTTCATAAAATAACATTTCTCATTATTACCAAAAAAAAAAAATACCTCGAAAATTACTTTTACACAGAATATACGAGAAACTGACTAATATCGAATGGTGTACACGCGACGAAAATTCGCCTCTATTTCCTTCCTATTCGAAACGGTTCCCTGGTTAATTGATTCATTTTTTCCGCTTGTATAGTGGAGTATCATTGTGTCAGGAAGGGAAAAATTACAAAAAAAAAGAAAAGAAAAAAAAAAAGAAGAAGGAGGAGAAATATTGTCAGCCTTTATACGAATGGGCGAACAAAGTTGGCGCTGGTGGGATTCGTCCCACTTTCCCTCAACAAGCGCGATAAAATTGTGCACATTTTGGGGTCGTGTAATATGCAAATAACAAACGTAGAGAGAAGGGAGAAAGAAAAAGGTGGTTGGACGAAAAAAAGAAGGAGGAGGAGGGGAAGCATCGCACGAGGCGATTTTTTTATTCGATCGTAACTCGATTAATTGTCGGGAAGACGGGGCAAATGGACGGCCTGGCTGCTCGAAGAAATTTGATTAAGTTCGATTGGCACGATCTCCAATTGCCGCTACAAAAAAAAAAAAAAAAAAAAAGAGAGAGAGATCTGCCCGAAATAAAGCGTGTAATTAAACGTTACGAGTAAAAATATGATATTATCCCACATGTTTTCTCCTCGGGAAGAAGATGGAATAGGTTTCGAATAGGAATTAACCCGTTAGAATGAACACTGTTAGATTCTTGGCGAATTAAGGTAAGTAAGTATTTATTGCGTGGAACAGCAGTTTGAGAG